AAAAAAATGAGCTGGAGAAGGAAATGACAAACCACTCCAGTATCTCTGCCAAGAAAACTCCAAATGGGGTCAAGAAGAGTCAGACACAACTGAAATGACTGAACAACAACAAAATAAGACAAAGCTGAGATTCAAACCTAGGTCTTCAAACTCTAAATCCAGTGGCTTTTATGTTATCCTCTATCCCAATCCTCAAACACCAGCTGTATGGAAAAACAATAGGCTTGACAATGGAGTACATGCAGGGGTGTGCTGGTAAATGTTTAACAATCAGCTGGGGGGGGAGTAGGCATGACATACTTTTGAATTTAATCTACATTTTCAACATTTTCTCCTTTATTCTTTTAAGTTTATACAATCAACAAAGCAGAATTTCCAAGCTGAAAATTTAAAAATTTACTCTAGCAAGATGGAACATGTTTAAATCTGACTTCTGACTGTATGTCTGTTTTATGAGGACCAGCTTAGCTAAATTGAGAGATGCTCATCACTAGGTTGACCACGGGATAAAAAATTTTATGGTCCCAGTGACTCTCAAAGATCACCTATTTATTAGGTTATAGAGGAGTTGCAATATTCACTGATGGATATAGTAGCCACACGAACAAAATTAAACACATCTATATGGCATTTCAAGTTTAACATAGCATTTTCCTAACAATTCTGTGATATTGGTAGTGCAAATACTATCATTCCCATTTTTGAGATGAAGAAACTGAGGCTTGGAGTGGTAAAGTGACCTGTCCAAGGTCACACAGCTAGGAAGCAACAGAGATTATCTCTCAAGAAGGAACAGAAGGATAACTCCAAGTAAAGAAATAAAGTTACCTAGAAGTGACATCCTTTCTTCTCTTTAAATAAATGCCAGGGTGTGAACTTGTTTTATACTTTGATACCTGTATTTCAAAATAATTGATTTCCTTTGTAATCCTATATATTTTATTGTATGAATCTAAAAACATGATTCTGGGGTAGCTAGGTGGTATAGTGGATAAAGCACCTGTCCTGGAGTCAGGAGGACCTGAGTTCAAATCTGACCTCAGATACTTACAAGCTGTGTGACCCCCACCAAGTCACTTAATCTTGATTGCCTAAAAAAGAAAGAAAGAGAAAGAGAGAGAGAGAAATAAGGAAGGAACAGAGGGAGAAAGGGAGGGAGGAAAGAAAAGAATAAAGAGAGAAAGAAAAATATGATTCTGAGAAAGGGTCTTTGGGCTTCACACCAGACCCACACAGGGGTCTGGGCCACATAAAAAGTTAAGAATACCCAGTGTAGTCAGAAAGCTTAGAGCAGTAAGAAGGGATCCACTAACATTTTGAGTTAGCTAATTTCATCTCTCTGTTTCAGTTATATTATCTCCCTCCCCCTCTCCTCTCTTTCTCCCTCTTCTCTCCTTCTTCCTCTCCCCCTCCTTCCCCCTCTCCCTGTCCCTCTCATCTCCTTCACCTCCTTCTCCTCTCTGGGGTTCTCTTAGAGAACAAAAGACAAAAACACAACAACCTAAAAAACAGATTCTGAGCTAGCTGATAAGAATAAAGTGAGCTATCAGGTAAATGACTGGGAAACATTCTGAGTGATAGAGAAAAGAAGGATGTCCTGGATCACTATTTCTCTGAGATGTCAAAGCAGAAGAGGCTTAGAAGAACAAGTCCCCATACACATAGCTAGGAGGTATCTGAGGCAGGATTCAAACCCAGGAAAATCTCATTCAAATTCTAGCACTCTATCCATCTGAAAGAGAAAAAACCTGATGGCCCCTAAGAATATCCACCATCCTTTAGAGTTGCAAGGCATTATAATACTATGGAAACAATAATGATCTTGGAGCCAGAAGAATTAAGCTCTAATCAAAGTGCTGACATTAAAATCACTGATTTTGAGTTGTTAGCTTAGTGACCAAACAAGTCACTACAATGCTTTCACCCTCAGTTTATTCATCTATAAAATGGGATATCAATACTCACAATACCTCTTTAACAGGGATTTTGTAAAGAAAGCATGTTATAAGCTCTAATGCACAAAATAAATATGGAATATAACTGGTATTAGAACTTCTACTACCACTACCACTACCACCTCCTGAATTCCTATATTCACTAACACCCATAATAACAAAAGAGTTTTTCTACTATATTTCAGTGTTTCCTTAGCATACCTAAGAAACACATAGCTGTCTCGTCAGTACTAATTGGGTAGACACAGAGATTCAAAGTCAAACTAGACTTTAAAAAACAAGTCACTAAGAGACTTAAGATAGGCAGTTCCACAGAGCCAGGTAAACCAGTCACAGTGGTGTGCGTGTACCATTAGAAAATTCACCTGGGCCCAAGACTGTGGATTTTAGTCGCTACTTATTTTTCTGAACCTTTATGCCTCTTGATACAGATCTCAGAGGCTAAATTAAGATATCCTATAGTTGCAGAATAGCAAATGCAAAGCACGTTGTACTAACAGCAAATACCAGAAGTTTTTTTTTTTTTTATGTTGATGCTAAAGGAATCAGAGGGTAAGGCCATTACATTTAGTAAATCTGTAGAGTGTATGCATATTTACCAATAACCTCCTCTAATCCTTCCCAAAACACATACTTAACCCCTAATCACTTGCGCAATTGGAACAAACAAGATTCCTGAAGGGATGCCCCAAATTACATTGACCAGAGCCTCTCAGATTTCCAACAAAACTGAAGGAAAGAAATAAATTCCCTTAAGTCTACAAAGAACAAAGAAGATGCAGGCAAGGGAAAAATATGATTGATGAAGAATTAACCTACACTTTCTAAAAGAGTAAACCAACCAGTACAGCTTGGCATGATACTAATGGCTTTTTTCAAGTTCCATGCTGAATTCTGAGATAAGAGCCTAATTCCTCCCCACCCACCAATGCCACCAAATGCCCCAAACAACAACCCTGACTATGGAGTTTTGTGGGCCTTGACATTATTGATCAATCAGATAAATAAAACTAAATAAAATTTAAAAAAATCTAAGTGACATCTTTTTAAAAATCAATCCAGCAGGACTTTTTAAGCAAAGCTTTGAATTTCTGCCCACTATTATATTACACTGCAGTACAACTTCTCTGAAGCTTAATGTTTTCTCAAATAGCAATTCTCAGATTCATCGGGCACTCAAAGGACAAAGTGAGAATTTTAGCTCTAAGTGTGAGAAGTCTCCTGGCTGAAAGAAAAGTAGCAGGATTCTCGCAGTTGCTGAAGAAGAATGGAACCACCCACAGGGTGATTTCATCTTTACAATAGCCTAGGTTCCTAAGCATAAATCTCATAATAATTATACCTTATATTTATAGCTTCCAATTATGCCTTAATTCCAGAGATCTTAAAACATCCAAAGGGCAAATTCTTAATTATTAAAATCCCCTTGGGAGGCACATATTACTATCTGACCTTTTAAATGGGACAACTGAGGCACAGGGAGGTCAGAGGACTTGTCCAACATCTCACCACCAAACAAAGGTGAAAGAGAGAGTAAAACATTTAAAACTCAGTTCTTCAACTATATATAACATTGATAACCAGAGGTGTCAGACAGAAGTCTCTCTCCTTGTCTCATCTGAAAACAAGGCATTGGGGTTTTATAAAGATCTCTGTGGCAATTTTCAATTGATCTCCCAAGAATTTGAAAAATGTAATTTCTCAGGTAACTCCACAAAAGTGTAAAGAAACCACTGGCATCCCGATAGAAAAAAGAGGAAAACTGCTTTTACTACTCATGAATTAAATTACTGCTTCATCTTCTAATTTCACTACTTTTCATATTTCTGATATTATCAGGGAATAAAAGAAAGTATCTCAACAATGCCAACATTAATAGGAAATAAATCTTCTAAAATGATTTTTGGACTTCAAATTCTGGATATAATCAAAGCAGTTGTATTCTAAAGAGGAAACCTGCGGGGGTCAACTCCCTGAAAAATGATCAACTCCCTCTTGACAAAGGAAACACATCATGGTCTTTTCTTCTGAATTGCATGGTGTAGTGGGTAGAGTGATGAACTTGGAATCAGAAAGCTCTTGGTTCAAATCTTACCTCAAAACTCTAGTAGCTGAGCAATGCTGGGTAAATCACTTACCCCTCCTGGCCTCAGTTTCTCATGTGTAAAATGAGGGGGTTGAACTAGACATCTTCCATGGTCCCTTCCAACTCTAATTCTATGATCCCATGATCCCACAGATTCAATTTGGAGATATCTACCTTCCAGTATTGTTCTGAGGAAAGTGTTATATATAAATGAATTTGAGAACAGAGAGCATAAATCCCAACAGAAGGGCATTCCCAATCTTGAATTCATCTAGCCAGGATCCCAAAGGAAAGAGTAACATGTTTTAGAAGCTCACCAAAAAGTTAATACCAGCTACATACAATGTACCATGTAAGTCAAAATTAACACTCATTTTGCTATTTCAACGTGTCAATTCTTACTGTTTTACAAAGTTACAGTATCTTCGGGTTATCTGCCAGATACTCTCCAGGTAGTTACGACAACACATAATATCTATAGGCTACTAAAATTGCCCAAGTATGCATTACTGGACACTTCAACTTCCTTAAAGTTACAAACACACAAGAATGGATTCATTCAACCAGCATTTATTAAATGCCTGTTATGTGCAAAGCTCCATGCTAGGTCCTAGGTGGTTTAGATAACATGCCTAGTCCCTGTTGGGAAGTATGTAAACAAATTCATAAATATCTATTTTAAATAATGATCCACAGAAAAAGAAATCTAAAGTAACAAAGAGAATTTGATAATACTATATGCATAATACAACATAACTACCAAATACCAATCATGTATGGTATGTGTTCCATTTCCATATGTGCTCTATTCTTCCCTGGTATCCAAACCACCCCACACTCACTCAGATAGACTGTTTTCTGCATGCAATTTCATCACAAATACGCTCAGAATCCATTCTAGCCATGGCTATCACTCGGTTCCATGTACTTCCTTCCACCCACCCTTCCACCAGACTCACTGTTGCTGGATTTGAGGTCCCGATGGATGATGGGGACAATTGCTTCGTCATGCAGGTAATTCATCCCCCTGGCAATCTGCACAGCCCAGTTCACTAATATGTCGGGAGGGATTCTTTTTCCTGATAACACTCGATTTAAGGACCCTCCACGTGCAAATTCCATGATCAAACAAAGATTGGGTTCTTTCAGGCAAACCCCTCTCAGAGCAATGATGTTCGGGTGCTTTAGCATGGCAAAGAGTTTGGCTTCCTGACGAACATTCTCTATTGTCTGGCTGATGTCCTCATCAGGGTCGTGGCGGGCAGCTTTCACAGCAACTTCTTCTCCAGCCCAAAAAGCTCGATACACTTTTCCAAAACCCCCAATGCCAATGATCTCCTCCAGGGTCAGCTCTGCAAAGTCAATCTCTAATACTGGGCAAGAAGAAGAAAGAGTACAGAGGCATTATGTCAAAACCATTCTGGAATAAATCATTTAAACATCAATACACAGAGACCACTGAATTTAATCATGGAAATCTGACATGGAGATTTTTACTGTGATTGGTCATTTTAACAAGTATCAACAAAGAGAAAAGGAGCAAGGGCAAGTCTAAAATTTAATACAAGAAATCACACGCCAGCAACAACCTGTGCTAATAACGCCATCTATTCAACACAGCCCTAGACTTCACAAGAACCACATTTCCGCACTGATTCTCCTTTAAAAACACAGTTTTTTTTCTGAGGCCATGACACCATCAGCTTCATTTTGGATGAATTATAATGGCTGTGCAGAGCTGAGAGCATGAACTAAAGTTGGTGGTTTCCATGTAAGCTCTACCCTCAAAGTGAGATTTTTTTTTTAAAGGGAAAAAATACACAGTAATTACACATAAAGGATGCACTCAGGCTTCAAACGAGACAAATTGGGGGTGGGAAAGGGAGGAGCAATAACATAGCTTATATTCATAAAAGCCAACAAACTTTTACTAATCATTTGCAAAATATTGTTCTACATGCTGGGGACATAACAAATTAAAAAAACAACTACTACTCTTGCCCTTAAGGAGATTCTTTTCTACTGGGCGGGGGGGAGAGGAAAGGAAGGGATACTACATGTAAATGGATGTATATACTGATAATTTTAGAAGGAGAGAGAAAGGACTAACAGTTAAGAGGTTGAGAAAAGGTTTTTCGCAGGAGATGGAAGCCAGGGATACTAAGAGGGGGAAGGGACAAGGAGAGAGGGCTCTTCAGGAATCAGTGACAGCCTGTGCAAAGAAAGAAAGGTGAGGGGTGTAACGTTGAGTTTGGGGATTGGCATGTAGTTGAAATATAAACTTTATGAATGGAAATAATGTGTAATATGCTTGAAAAGGTAAACTGGAGCCATACGACAACGAGCTTTAAATGTCAGACTGAAGAATGAAAGCATAGTATTTTTCACATTCCTTAATTTTTTGTGGGTTTTTTTGTCTTTGTCTCTTTTCACAACATGACTAACATGGAAATATGTTTTGCATGATTGCACATGTATAACCTATATCAAATTGGTTACCATCTCAGGGAGAGGGGAGATGAGGGAAGGAGGGAAGAAATGTGGAGCTCAAAATTTTAAAAAGGTTAAAAATTGTCTTTACATGTAATTGGGGAAAAAAATTTTTTTTAATTTTCTCAACAAATATATAAATAAATATCAAGCTGAGGAGTGTATATTTTATCCAAGAGGCAATAGAAAGGTACTGCACAGGTAAGCAACATGGTCAGACACGAATTTAGGAAAGACCACAAGAAAGAGAAAAGAAAGAATGGAAGCCCAAGAGACAACTAGGAAGGTGTTTGTAACAGTTCCCTAGAGTGGCGATGAGGGCCTGAGCTATCATGATAGCTCAGAAACAGATGTGAGATGCTGTTGTGAAAGTAGGACTGGCAAGATTTGACAACTGGGCATTGAGGGTAAAGAGAGGGAAGAGTTGAGGAAGATTCTGAGGCATCTGAAAGGATGGTGATGTCCTCGATAGAAACAGGAAAATCTGGAAAAGAAATGAATCTGAGGTAGGGTGAGGGAATGGGTAGGTAATGGTGATAGAGGTTAGATCTATGATTTCATTGATGTAGGGAAATCGCAAATGAGGACACTCCCTCTACCAAAGCAGATCTACCATTCATAGTCTAAAGAGTTGATTCTATCATTAAAGGGTTAAATGACTTGACCAGGGACAGATAGGCAATAGGTGTCAGAAGCAGAATTGAACCTAAGACTTCTTGAATCCAAGGCAAACTCTTTATCCACTACATTGAAAGGGAGGCAGTAATGAGTTCTGTTTAAGACATATTGAGTGTCAAACCAATCAATATATCAACAAGCATTTTGTAGGCACTGGAGATATAAAGGCAAAAGCAAAACTCTCAAGGAGTTTAGATTTTGCCAAGGAAAACAACATGTACATATAAATAAGTGCATACAACCATGATGATGATGATGATGATGATGATGACGATGATGACACTAACACATTTCTAACGATTTAAACTTTATAAAACATGGGAGATAACACCTGAACAATGTCTTGAAGAAGCTAGGGAATCTAAGAGGGGGAGGCAAGGAGAGAGGGCCTACCTGTTTTGTTTCATTTGAGCCTCACTTAATACAAGTCCTTGTAAAACAGTGTGCTCAATATCTCTCTCCCCATATACACGCATATACATAAATATTCATATATACATGTGTGCATATATACACATATACACATATGCACACATGTGCACATATACAAATATACATATACATATACATATACATGCATACATACATACAGATATCCTAAGAGCCACAGATGGCTTTTAAATCTAGCTCATGTTCCTCCATGGTGGGTTTGTGGACAATCAAATGAATGGAATCAGCATAATTTTCTTGCTCTGTTGCTGCCTAGGCAGTTCTTCTCTCTTAGTGAGTGGCTGATGTGATTATTTACCAAGCTGCTGCAAAGCAATGGTGTTACACAGCTGGTAGTTGAAGGGGCCAACTAAAACTTTAATACACAATCTTATATATATTACACAACATTTATGTCTAAGAGAATCACAAGGAAATGGAATAATACAAAGGAACTTCTACTTAATTATAAAAAGTCCTGACTTATTGCTTGCCCTCATAGAGTTGAATTTGTTAATTTTGTGGTCCCCAGGATAATTAATGAGTTTATAGATTTAGAACAGAAAAGGACTTTGCCTCTAGGTGGCATAGTGGATAGGGCCTAAGATTTGGAACCAGGAACAAAGACCTGAATTAAAATTTACCTTAGATAGTTACTAGTTGAGTGATCCTAGGCAAGTTACCAAATCTCTCCTTATCTACAAACTGGGGACAACAACAGCACTTATCTCACAGGGCTCTTGAGGAGATCAAATGAAAAGCAGCATGGCATTATGGATAGTCAGGAAGATCTGGTTTCAACTTCTGCTTCTGACACATCCTTATTGTGTGACCCTGGACAAGTCACTTAATCTCTCTGACTGAATATTCTCATCAGTAAAATGGGAATAATACCTGCAGTACCTAACTTACAGAGTTGTTGTGAGGTTCAATGAAACTGTATAAAATACTTTGCAAACTGTCATATGTACATATGTAAATATATACATGCACACATGTATATATCATATATTGATAAAATCACCACCACCACTATTATCTTCTTCTTCTTCTTCACAGTAACCCTATTATCTCTAAAAAGATTTGTAAATAAAATGCTGGCACAATAAAACTCATATAGGGAAATCTGAGGTGAGAGTCATATTTGCCATGCACTACACAGAAAGTCAAAGGTTAAGAAAAGAACAATCGTTCGCTTTTCCATTATGCTTTACAGTTTATAAAATACCGTCAGGATAGTGTAAAGAACATTGTATTTGGAGTCAGAAAACCTGGGTTTGAGTCCTAACTCTGACACTTAGCACCTTGGTGAACTTCTGGGAGTCACTTGACATTTCTCAGTCTCAATTTCCTTGGAAATAAAAGAAGTGAATTGGATCAGATGATCTTACAGGTCCCTTCGAGTTCTAAATCTATGCTCTTCCTAGTCATCCTAGAAGTTTCCTATATTAGAAAATCAGTGAAGTCAACTCTGCAAGGACAACCAATAAATAGATTGAGACTTACAAAAATAAATGCAAAGATCAGATACAAAATCTCTTGAAAAAACTTAAGGATAAAATTCAAAATTATTCCTGGACCACTTAACAGATGACCTACATATCTACATTATTCCCTTCCGGTCAATCTCTCAGTCAGGTCTTTAGTGTTCATTTGGGACCATCTTCTCTTTTGTTCCAAATGCTAATGATTTTCAAAGATTGTTTATAAATCATTTTCCTTGTTTAAGGTATAGCTCTTATGTCCTACCATTGCTTTCCTTTCATCTTCATTTTGCCATACAATTGGCAGTTTATGCAAAAACCACTCTTAAAATAAAGTTGGGTGACATTTTCCGCATTTAGCAAAGATAGTATGCCTTGTAGAAAAAAGAGATGAATGCTTAAAAGTTCCTAACCGTATTAAGAAAAAAAAAAAAGGAAAAGACACCTATTGGCCTTTTCTTAATCCTTACTGACTAAGCACATTATAAATTCATGTTATCTAGCTTCAACTGGCCCTCACTACAGAAAGACAGGCTTTTTATTCCTTCCTAATTGAGCCCCTATCTCACTCCCCACAGAAGTTATTCCAAATCTTCTCTCCTCGGACCTCCCACACCTAGCCTTGCCCCTTCTCTCAGCTGAGGACTATGACTCTTACTTTACTGAGAAAACTGAGGCCATTCTACATAAGTTCCCTCTTCTCAAAACCCCTTGATATCATCCTCTACTCTCTCTTCCATTCCTCAAGTCCAATGTGAAGTGGGCTTCCAACTTTCCCACATGTGCATTTGATCTCATGTCTTCTCATCTTCTTCAACATAATGCAACCTCATTCATTATTTCTCTGTTAAATCTTCAACCTTTTACAATCTACTGATTATTTCTCTACTGTCCTCAAACATGCACACATCTCCCCCATCCTTAAACAACCTTCACTAGACTCTACCATCTGTTTAAACTATAGTTCTATATCTCTCCTTTTCTAAGCCAACCCTAGAAAAAGTTATCTAGACTCCCAGCTTCCATTTTTTACTCACTCCTTAACCCTTTGCAGTCTGGGTTCTAACATCTTCATTCAACTGGAAACTGTTGTCTTTAGATTTACCAACAATCATTAATGCCCTGTTCGAGGAGTTGTGAACTGATTCAACCATTCTGTAGGGCAATTTGGAATTGTGCCCAAAGGACTATAAAAACATGCATACCCTAGCAATACCACTATTACGTCCATATCCCAAAAGAGATTAAAAAAACAAAAAGTAAAAGGACCTATATGTACAAAAATATTTATAGCAGCTCCTTTCTAGGGGCAAAGAATTGGAAACTGAGGGAATGCCTATCAATTAGGGAATGGAGGAACAAGTTGTGGTAAGTGATTATGACATAATAATATTGTACCATAAGAAATCATGAGCAAGATGCTCTCAGAAAAACCAGAAAAAATTTGCATGGGCTGATGCAAAGTGAAATGTACTGTGTACAAAGTAACAGCAATATTGTAAGATGATCAGCTGTGAACGACTTAGCTATTCTCAGCAATGCAATGATCCAAGACAACTCTGAAGGATTTATGACGAAAAATACTATCCATCCCCAGAGAAAGAACTTTGGAGTCAGATCACTCAGAATCATATCTGGCCTCTGACACTTACTACCTGTGTAGAGAAGTAATTTAACTTTCCTGGGTCTCAGGTCCATCATCTGTAAAATGAAAGATCTGGACTAGATGACTTCTGAGGACCCTTTCAGCTCCTAATCTACAGCCTGATGATACTGAACTCATGGTTCTGAAGGAACAGCTCCTCTGGTTCCATCACTGGAAGGAAAAGAAAGACGGCCACATGGGAAAATATGGTAATGACCTCTTTGGTTACAACATAAAACCTTAGTTTCTGGTTTCATACTTTATCAAACAGTATATATAACCTGTATTAGCTTTGAGACTGATGTCTTGGTAAAAGACGAGAGCTATATAGAAAATAATAATACTGATGAATGACTTTTCTGAGAAGACACTACCCTGGTGTTTCTTTTTCTTGGGGACTATGGCTTATTCATCTGTGAAACTAACCTTTATTCTCTGCTCCTGTAAAAGTTTAGTGCTGGTTTTAAACAGGAATCAGGTCATGAAGTTTTCAGTACAAGCTGCAGCTCAGTAACCTTTCATAAAACAAAAACCATATTTGTTCCACTTCAGGGTCACCCCTCAGATCATGTGCAATAATATAAGCACATTTCTGCATGCTCAGAGCAAGTGAGCTGCAGATTCTCCAGAATTTTCCTGTTCTACAAAGAAATGGCTAAGGATGCTCATAAGTAATGAAAGTGTAAATTACTAAATAAACATGATATATGCTCTGTGTGAAAGAAAAATAAAAGCACTTCTTGACAGAAAAAAAAAATTTAGCCCACCAGACTATACCACCCAATAAAATACAATATAAACAAAGGGTTGTTTTTTTTTACCCTTAAGAATGAGAAAGGGGCCAGCTAGGTGGCGCAGTGGATAGACAGAGCTCCAGCCTTGGAGTCAGGAGGACCTGAGTTCAAATCCGGCCTCAGACACATAACACTTACTAGCTGTGTGACCCTGGGCAAGTCACTTAGCCCCACTGCCTAGCCAAAAAAAAAAAAAAAAAAGAATGAGAAAGAACATTGAAAAGCTCCTGAGTTATATATGTCAACCTTATTGGGAGCCAAACTCTATCACTTATGCTAACTACAATTAAAATAAAAGTTTATCCTATTATATATGAAGTAATTGATGTGGGCATACTCCATAAAGTTAAAAGTGATATACTGGTGTAAGATGATATTATCAATAGCCTCCTAATTATCAGCAATAGCTCCCTAAAAATTGATCTTTCTACCTCTAGTGTCTTCTCTCTCCAAACCATCTTTACACATCTGCTAAATATTCTTAAAATTCAGATTTGATCATGTAACACCCCTACTCAATAAACCTCAATGTCTCCCTATTGTTTCTGGAAAAAATATAAAATTCCTCAGTCAAGTACACAAAACCCTCCTTATCCAGTGTTATTTCATATTATTCCCCTCTCCAGATTCTCCTTCAGTCAAACTGCCCTGCTAGCTAGCTGTTTCCTACACATGATATGTACATATATACATGTTTCCCATATATATTTCATCCCCTCCCTCTGTGCATTTGCACAAGTGGCTCCCATGGCCGGACTGCCATTCCTCCTCACCTCAGTCTCTCACAACCCCTGCTTTCCTTCAAAGCACAGTTTAGTTGCCACACAAGACCTTTCCTCATCTCTCTGGTCATAAGTACTCTCTCCTTCTTGAAATTATTTGTATTAGTTTATGTATACTTTGTATTTAATCATACCCATGTTGTATCCCCTAGTCAAACATAAGCCCCTTAAGGGCAAGAACTGTTGTTTTTTTGTCTTTCTATCTCGAGGAACTGACACAGTGCTTTTGCAGGAAGTAGGTATTGAACAGATGTTTGCTGAATTGAATTTTTTGGTGGAACAAAACTAGGGGAATTCTTGTCATCCATATTTGAATAGAGTTTAATGATGAGAAAATTTCATTTTAAAACACCAACATTTAAAACTAAAATATATAGTCCTTCACATCACGTTCTTTAAGATCCTATATACGATGTTTGTAGAGCTCAATCACAAAACACCCAGAAGAAATCCTGAGGGGCTGGGTAGATAGTTCAAGGAAAGAATTATTAGTAGTTCTATCCCACTCCAGGTCTCTGGTGACAAAGATGCCCATTTTTATTTTCTATATAATACTAAATGTATATAATTTTATATAACACTAAAAGTATAATGCTAAATACTAAATAAATACTAAATACCACCTAGACAGCTGGTGGAACTGATAACGTCTAAAAGACAAAAAGTACACTTGCTGGCAATCTCCAGAACTAGGATAAGGACCAAAGAAAAGAATTCACAGGGATCTTGTCTGGTACTAGATGACTTTAGTCTCCAAAAGGTATCACTTCCATCCAGCAACATTACTCAAGGTCCATTGAACAAAGTCAGTTCTTTCCACCTTTGTGAATGTTATGAGAATTATTCTATTTCCTGTCTTTCCTTCACTACTGAAGCTCAATCAGTTCTACCCTGGGGGAATCTTATAAGACCCAAATTTGACTTTTCTTAGTAGAGGAAAAGCTCTTTTCTAAAATGGGACAATGTCAATCTACATGGTTCATAGAGCTCAGGATCATTTTTATCTTCATATACACCCAGTCCAGACCACTGCAACATATTTCAGAAGCCATGGAATGGAAGACACTGAGGAAAAGTGAACTTTTCAGTATCTACTAAATACTCAATTCAACATACTTTTATCAAGAGCTTATGTGCAATCCAATTAGATAAACTGCTATGAGTCAGGCATTATGTTGGGTGCTAAGTTCTCTCAACCCTAATTTTAGGTGGACCCAATGAATAAAGATCAAAGGCTTCATTGGCAGAAAACATCAGACTCTGACTTAACTTAGTCACTAAAATGACCAGGGTCATCCAACATGCCCATTCACCTCTTTCTCTGCCATACTACCATATTTGCCACTAACTACATCTGAGAGCACTCAGCTGAATTTTTAGACTTTTAGTTCGATGGACTTAGTACCTGGACATCATTCACAAGAGTTCTTTTCAGAATCCAAAAATTATAAAGATCAACATGTAGCCATATGCAGTTTTAAATTCAATAAAGCAATGGAAAGCATGGTTAGAACTGTGGAGGATCCCAAATTGGGGGCAAAAAGAAGAAGAGAAAGAAAGATTTCTGGTTTTGTTCTAAACTACTTTTGTGGAAATAAGTTACAAGTCAAGAGCAGAGAGTAGTTTCACAATAGAGATTAAGTTAAACACTGAATTTTTAAGTACTGAAAACAACATTCTTGCTAAGAACCTGTGTTTTCCTTTTATTTTAAAGGTCAACTGGGATATGAAATATGGCATAAATGTTAGTAAGAAGTAAAAATATTCAATACTTGGTATCATAGGTTTAGAACTTGAAGGTACTTTAAATGTCATCCAATCCAACTCCGTCATTTTTTTCTTTACAAATAAGGAAGCTGATGGCCCAGAAGATTAAGTGACTTGCCCAAAACCGCCAAGGTAATAAGTACCAGAGGTGATATTTGAAGCCGGGTCCTCTTACTATCTTTCCAAGAAAGTCTAAGCATACAAAGGAGCATTTCAGATTTTTAAAAATCTTGTCATTTTTTGCTTTCTGCTTGCTTTTTTTAGCATTGACTGATTCCTGTGGTAATTTATGTCCTTGGAGTTTGATGAGATTTACTTATCAGATGTGGGTAAGGATTGAGGATCATTGAGAGATTCAAGACAGTGACAAAAATACTATTGATCATGATCTGTCATAGTTAAAAACTAGTTTTAAGACCACTGTAGGAAGAGAGAGCAAGAAATATTTCTAAAGGTTCTTTAAACAACAGGTTAAAAAAAAAAACAAACAGCAGGTGAGTTAAAGAACTGGAATTTAAGCAGTGAACTTTGTACTTCAGATACCTTTTCCCTCTCCCAACTCACCACTTCTTGGGACATCATTCACCCAGTGAGGCCCCTAACCATAAGCTTCCTTGGTGTAGAGATGAGCCAAGAAAACTATACAATATTTCACAGAAATTTCAGCTTTGAGGAAATCTGGGGTTCAATGAACTTTTCAACCCAGCCCTGTCTTGGACTCCCCAATCTTCCTTTCAGCAAAGCCTATGCAGGGTGGGGGAGGAGTGGAGGGTTAGTGGATCTGATGACTAAGATCCTCACAGTATTGATGTAATGAAAAGAGCACTGGCTCTGTTAGTAGCTGTGTGACCTTAGGCAAGTCACTTTTCACGGATCCTTAGTATCTGTAAAAGGAGTGGGGTAACAGATAACCTGTTAACGTTGCTCTTAGAAATACCCAGTCGTTATGAGCCTACTATTACCCGCCTGCACAGTAAAGGGTGAAGGGGCTCCCTGAGCTAGGACTTGACTTCGTGAGGGTAAGTCACAGTAGACGGTAGTCCCATCAAAACTGAAAAGGCCCAAAGCCTAGGATTCGAGGATCGGCCTGCGCACCGTAGATCTTATCTATGGCACTACCAAGCCCCTGCACCCGGCGCAAGCGCGCACCAGCTGCCCGCTTTCCCATGGGTACCCCCCCCCAGCAACTTTCCTGCCCCAGTTCCCCCACTTGAGCCAGGCCCCTCCCCTCTGCACCTCCTGGCCCGCCTTGCCCTTACAGTGGATGGCTGGGTAGCAGCTGGGGTCTTCCCCACCGGGCTGGCAGCGGCTGGAGAAGGCGCTCCGAGGGGTCACGTAGTTGCTGGGGAAGATGCCCACCCGCTGATTGAGCTGCCCAGTCCACCAGCCCTCGTCGCCGGACACCTGCGAGTCCTTGGACAGCACTTGCACCACATCGCCCAGCCGCAGGGTCAGCTCGTCCTCTCCCGCAGCCTCGTAGTCGAACACCGCGGTCCAGAAGGGCAGTGGTGGCTCGGCGCCCAGCTCCTCTGCTGCTGCCACTGCCACTGCCGCTGCCGCCGCCGCCGCCGCCCCCTCCTCCTCTTCCTCCTCCTCCTCCTCCTCGCCCCCGGCCCCGGCTCCATCCTCCCCGGGCGGGGCGGCAGCAGCAGCGCTCGCCAGGCAGCCGAGAAGCGCGCGGGAGGGATCCATGGAGCGGGAGATCCATGGAGCGCAGGAGCCGCCGCTGCCTATTGTTCATGCGGCTCCGCAGAAGCTGGGGGACCCCTCCCCCGAAGGCAGCGGCGGCTGCAGGTAGGGTGGAAGGTGGCGGAATAGGGGAGGACCGGGGGCCGGGGTAGGGGATGTGGAGCGAGAAGCCCTCGAGGTGTCCCGGCCCGAAGAACCCTCAGTGGAGCATGGGGGCCGGGCCGGATCCCCCCCTTCCCTCCTGTTCTACCTCCACCACACAGGGGTGGTGGGGTGGGAGGGGTACGGGGTTGGGGATAACCCGTTCATGAAGCCAGCGTTCCCAGGTCTGCTGCCCAGAGCCGCTCCCGGCGCCTCCGTCCTCTCTTCTCCCTACTCCCCTCCCCACCCCTTTCGTCCTGTCTTCCTAGCCTAGGCTGCACGCCCAGGACCACCTGACACCCGCTCCGCCCCGCCCAACCCTGCGGACTAACTGGGGCGGGGATGGAGGACCGGGTGGCGGGCGGGGACTCCTGCCCCACCCCCAACCCCTGGGTTTTGCCAGCTTCCCTCGCCATTGGCCATGGAGATCCTGGGTCCACAGGTTACCCTAGTTCTGATTGGACATATCCTTCCCCCCCCCACTACCCTCCCCTCAACTGCTCCCCTCCCATCTACTCTCCATCCCTAATGACAAGCACGCCTCCTCCGCAGGAGAGTCTCCGCCCCCCCGCCCCCCTCCCGCTCTGGTTTCTCATTCTCAAACCCATGGATCAACCCTTTCCTCTAGCCCATTGGCCGGTGGCAGATTCAACCATTGGTGAGGAGCACCTGTCGATTAACCGTGAACGTACTGTCTTCCTCAAGTGAGGAGAACTCAAATTTCATTGGATAGGCTAGGAGAGAAGGGTGTGTTCTGATAGGTAATAATCCACCCTCCATTCAGATTTAGTAAGAAACCTGAAGGAAAGAGCTGTTTCTTTGTTTGCAAGCAATTGAAGCAGAACCTTTCTTGAACCTCACCTAAAGCTTTGGCTTTCTCGAGATGCGCTAGGCAAGGGTTCCACTCCACGTGGGAAGACTCTTTTCCTCCATACCATTTTTGCATTTGGATTTACTTCCTCCTCTCCTCAGACTTTCAACGCTTGCTGTATGATGAGGGTAAAAATAATCTACATTTGTCTAACATTTTTTTATACGTTACCTTGTCTCTATAACTTTCTCATCTGCAGACCAGCCCTTGGTGCTTGGTAGGCAGAGTTTCTTAACCTTTTTGGTGTCATGGACCCCTTTGGCAGTCTGGTGAAGCCTATAGACCTCTTCTCAGAATAATCATTTTAAATGGAGAAAAGAAAATACTCGGGCTTACAAAGGACACCAATTAGGATGAATTCTACTACAACCCTGCTGAAATCCTCCATTCCTTAAATCTTTGGGTTTTTTTTTCTGTTTCCTGTTCTCTGTGGGACTTATTTCTTGGATTATTGCTGAACAGCCAAGTTTCATCATTTTAATGGTTATCATTTGGTTGGTCTACAAAGTAATATCTGCCAATACCTATTTGAATTTTTAGTAGTGGAGGAAGAATCATAAAATCATGGGAATTTGGAATTAGAACAGTCCTCAGATCAACTATTTCAATTCAGCTTAATTTGACACACATATATTAGTTAGGGACTGGGATACAAAGATGAAAAATATCGTAGTCCATGCCTCAGAAATCTAAAACCTAATACACAGGAATTATAAGTTATGTACATCTAACATTAAGAACTGGTGCACTGTCCCTAGTCAGCCAGTCAGTCAATAAGCATGTAACAAACACTTACTATGTCCCAAGAATTGTGCTAAGTCCTGGGAGTACAAAGGAAGGCAAAAGTACAGTCCCTGCCTTCCAGGAGTTCACACTGTAATTCCAGAGTCAACATGTACAACATACATACAGTACAAATAGAGGGTTGTCTCATAGGGAAACCACTAGTAGTGCAGTATAGGGGGACGATGATCAGGAAAGGCCTCCTGTTGTTGTCCAATTATTTCTGACTCTTCATGACCCCATTTGGGGTTTTCTTGGCAAAGATACTGGAGTGATTTGCCGTTTCCTTCTCCAGCTCATTTTACAGATGAGGAAACTGAGGCAAATAGGGTTAAGTGACTTGTCCAGGGTCACACAGGTAGTAAGTGTCTGAGGCCAGATTTGAACTCAGGAAGATGAGTTTTCTTAGTTTGAAGCCCAGTGTTCTATCCACTGAGCCACCTAGCTGCCCTAAAGGGCTCCGGCAGAAGGTCTTGAAGTAAGCCAGGGAAGGAAGGAGGTAGAGGTGAGAAGAGAGAAGATTGCAAGCATGAGAAACAATTAGGCATGGTCAGGAAATGGAGTTTTGTGTGAGAAGAAGAGCAAGAAGGCTAGCGTTGCTGGAAGACTGGAAAAGTAGGAAGGAGACAGGCTATGAAGGACTTTAAATGCCAAAAAGATGCATGTATACATGCATGACTGTATATATATAAATATGCATATATGTGTCTGTATATGTACATAATGTATGTGTGCATGTATGAGAAGGGTTAGACTCTCTTTTCTTATACTCCAGCTCATTATATACCAGGACAAAATACTTAAGGATAAAGTTTTGGTTTGTAAGGGACAACTATGTATATTCTATACACGAAGTGGATGCTAAACACAGAACACTCACAAGTACACATTTGACAGACACAACAAACTAAGTAAATATCCTAATTATTGTTATACTCTGACAGAAGACTGATACTTAAAACCATTCAACATGAAGCAGTTTACAGGACAGCTGATTAGGAATTTTGGATTTAACCTCTCCTCTGCTGTTTCCCTCAAAGCCTATATTTTCTGGCAAGATAGGCAGGGTTTATCATTGAAGCCAGGAAGAACTAAGTTCAAATCTTGCCTCAGACACTAGTTGTGTGATTCTGAACAAATCACTTGACCCCTGTCTTCCTCGGTTTCTTCATTTGTAAAATAGGTATAATAATAAAACTTACTTTCCAGGGTTATTGCATTAATAAAATGAAATATTTCTAAAGCAATTTGGGAAACTTTAAAGCACTATATAAATGCTTAAAATAAATTATTTGTATTTAAAATAATGTTTATACTTAAAATATTTATATTTAACATGTAAATATTTATATTTAAAATATAGTTATGTTTTTAAAATTGTATTTCAAATAATGTTTATATTTAAAATAGAATATTTATATTTAAAATAATACATTTCTATTTAAAATAATAACTACTATTAATTCCTGGGAATAGTCATCTTTAAGAGGGCTAGAGTACATGTAAGAGAATCTTTCTGAAGTGTGGTCAGCACCAACTGAAGAGCCAGTATCTCCAAACCTTTTGAACTCATTAAAGTGGTCACTAAGTCTAAACATGTTCATCTTCACAATGTTTGGTCACCCACTCAAAAAAGGAAATACAAAGCAGAAATACAAAGCAGGAACAAGTTTATCTAGTTGAGTTCCCCTATTCTAGCTACTATATGGGCTCAATCACTATGTAACATAGTGAAGAAGGGCCAGTCCTCCCAGGAAGTTAGATAATGCCACCTGGAGGGTTGAAAGAAGAAAGAACCAGAATCTGTGTCTCCTTTATAACTGAAACAATCCCCTCCCTTACTGCTGCTGCCTCAGGTCTGGGAGAGGACCAAGGAAGCCTGCAGGATTTGGTGTGTCATACTAAAACAACATGGAGGAATTCAGGTGGCACAGTGGATAGAGTATGGACCTTGGAGTCAAAAAGACCCGAGTTTGAATTCTGTCCTGAAACACTTATTAGCACAGATTTGCAGGGAAATTGCTCCAGCAGCATTGGTGAGCTTAGGAGTAGGAATGGGAAAGACAATATGATACTGTTCAGAGTTGGCAAATCACAACTTTTCTCATTTAAAATGTGGAGAGGATAGGTGGTGTTGAGGTCCTTTTGTGCTCTGGCAAAGATACTGGAGTGGTTTGCCGTTTCTTTCTCTAGCTCATTTTATAGATGAGGAACTGAAGCAAACAGGGTGAAGTGATTTGCCCAGGGTCACCCAGCTAGTAAGTATCTGAGACCAGATGTGAACTCAGGAAGATGGGTCTTCTTGATTCCAAGCCCAGTGCTTTATCCTCTGTGCCACCTAGCCTCCTTTTAACCATAATACCGTTATACTAAAACAGACATGAGGTTGACTCAGGTTTGTGATTAGCAGGAAAAGAACAGATGGTAAAAGGTTCAAGGGCAGAGGATGGTGCATTGTTGAATTGGCCAACTATAGATTCAAGACTATTAAAAAACAGGAAGTAAAGTTCAAATTGAGGCAGGAAAGGGAATAAGCGTTTATATAGTGCCTACTATGTGCCCTTTACAAATATTATCTCATTTGATCCTCACAACAACCCTGTGAGAAAGTGCTGTTATTATCCCCATTTTACATTTGAAAAAATAGAGGCAGAGTCACACAGTTAGGAAGTATCTGAGGTATTATTTGAACTCAGATCTTCCTGACTCCAGACTTAGATGTCCATCTACTCTATCACGTAGCTGCCCTCACAACCACTGAGACAAATAGTTACTCAGTCTCTTCTTGAACAACTCTAGTGTTTTTCCTTTTTGCCTTTATATCTCAAGTGCCTTGCACAGAATATATGGTTAATGAATGTTTGTTGAATTGCATTGAATTCACCACTGCAAATAGACTACTTTGGAATGACCCTAACTGATATGAAATTGTTACTTATATTGAACTGAATGATGCAGTCCAGTAACTTGGTCCCCATCTTTCCTATAGAGCTATAAAGAAGAAATATTTAAAACCCAGTTTGCTGTGGGATTAATTGGGATAGGGAAATCAAAAGTGATGGTTATCATTCTGGATCGTGATTTGCCCTACTACTTTCCCTCCTACTCTTGAGCTTTTTCTTTTGGATCAGTTGCACTGTGGATCACTGCTACCTACATTAACAGATGGTAAAGAATCAAAACAAATGAGCTTTTTCTTTTAAGGCTG